TTTGCAGTACGTGGGCCTCTCACTGTTGTGGCCTCTCCTGTTGCGGAGCACAGGCTCTGGACGTGCAGGCTCAGAGGCCATGGCTCACCGACCCAGCCGCTCCGCGGCATATGGGATCCTCCCGGGCTGGGGCACAAACCCGTGTCCCCTGCATCGGCAGGCGGACACTCAACCACTGCGCCACCAGGGAAGCCCTATGCCCACTTTTTGATTGGGTTTGTTATTTTGATACTGAGCTGTATGAGCTGTTTGTATATTTTGGAAATTAAGCCCTTGTCAGTTGCATCATTTGCAAATGTCTTCTCCCATTCTGTAGGTTTTCTTTTCATTTTGTTTATGGTTTCCTTTGTTGTGCAAAAGCTTTTAAGTTTAATTAGGGCCCATTTGTTTATTTTTGTTTTTATTTCCATTACTCTAGGAGATAGATCCAAAAAGATATTGCTGCCATTTATGTCAGAGTGTTCTGCCTGTGTTTTCCTCTAGGAGTTTTATGGTATCCAGTCTTACATTTAGGTCTTTAATCCATTCTGAGTTTAATTTTTTATATGGTATTAGAGACTGTTCTAATTCATTCTTTTACATGTGGCTGTCCAGTTTTCCCAGCAACACTTATTGAAGGGACTGTCATTTCTTCATAGTATATTCTTGCCTCCTTTGCTGTAGATTAATTGACCATATGTGTGTGAGTTTATTTCTGGGCTTTCTGTTGTGTTCCATTGATCTATATTTTTGTTTTGTGCTAGTACCATACTGTTTTGATGACTGTAGCTTTGTAGTATAGTATGAAGTCAGGGAGCCTGATTCCTCGAGCTCCATTTTTTTTTCTCAAGATTGCTCTGGCTTTTTGGGGTCTTTTATGTTTCCATACAAATTAAAAAATTTTTTTTCTAGTTCTATAAAAAACGCCATTGGGGGCTTCCCTGGTGGCGCAGTGATTGAGAGCCTGCCTGCCGATGCAGGGGACACGGGTTCGGTTCGTGCCCTGGTCTGGGAAGATCCCACATGCCGCGGAGTGGCTAGGCCTGTGAGCCGTGGCCGCTGAGCCTGCGCGTCCGGAGCCTGTGCTCCGCAACGGGAGAGGCCACAACAGTGAGAGGCCTGTGTACCGCAAAAAAACAAAAACAAAAACAAAAAATGCCATTGGTAATTTGATAGGGATTGCATTGAATTTGTAGATCACCTTGGGCAATATAGTTTGGTGTTTGTCCTCTCCTCTCACGATTACCGATTTAGCTATCGTATTTGTGTATGGATGATTTCCTACTTCTACTGTATGTTTGCTTTTACTGGTGAATATGATTTTAATTCAGGGAGCACAGAGGAAAATTAAGCTTTTCTCTCTCCATCTTGATATGTAAATAAACATTTTATTTTCTGTTTTGTTAGCCTGTGGTCGGTTAAAGAAGTTAAGCCTCTGAATATTTAATATATATATCAGTTGTCTATCATTTGTTTCTGGTTCACTGGTAAAATAAAAAATATTCTTCAAGAATACCGAACAAGACAGCTGAGAATAAAGCAGCTCATAGAATCAGAAATTCTTATGATGGAGAAATTTTTGTTTCTAAGAGCTCAAGAAACCATGAGACTGCTTACTCCCTTAAAAATAATAAGCTCTTTCTTTCCATTATAAAATGTAGTGTTTAACTCCAAATATATGTTTTCTTAAAAGAGGGAAACTTAGTTCCTTGATCATTAAAAAAATTTCTCTTTGCAGTCTTTTCATCTGCAGATGACTATAGCGAACATGAACCACTTGAAATTCATTCCCCACAAAGACTACACAGCCAATCGCTTGGTCAGCGGGCTCCTCCAGCTGCCCAGCAATACTTCTCTTGTAATTGATGAAACTCTCCTGGAACAGGGGCAGCTGGACACGCCAGGTGTGTGCACGGACGTTGTCCTTCCATTTCTGACTCCCAGCAAAGGCAGGCGTGGTAATGATCTTCTAAGGAATAACTGAACAAAGACAAATTCACACTTCACAAGTATTTAAGACAAAGGCTTGCTCTGTGAATTTGGTTAAAGCATATATCATTAACAAATAAATTGTGTACATCAACTGTGTTTTGTGATAGTTTGAAAATACTATGATAATACACCAAGTAAGTAGCAGGTAGCTTTTTAAAGGCTGAAAAGGGAGGAGGTTTTGCCTTTAGTCCTATATTACCTCAAAAGAAAAGTTGTAGAAAAGATCTAATAAAACATTTTTTACCAGCCAATGTGATTTCAAAAATTTTTTTCAAAGAATCTCTGAAAAAATATTTAGTAGATCAGATGGCTTGCACTAACCTCAGCTGTGGAACATGTTATAAAATTACAAGAAAGCAGATTGCTTTATCTATGCTCAAATGAGAATTAAGACACTTTGCTGGTGGTAAGTTCAAGAGGTAAAAATAGAAAAAATAGTGTAGACTGGGTAGAATTAAGGCAAAAGTGAGTATAAATTCAGTAAAATCCAGTAACCTTATCTCTGTATAAAAATAGTTTTGGTTCTACCAGATTATTTTAGTCCTGTGAAGACACCACATACAAAATAATCATACTTTTATCGGGAACTATTTTATATCTAATTGCACACCAGATGCTTGCTATTAGATTTGGGGTGGGTGGGGGAGGAATCTTGGCTCCAGAAATATGTTGGTCTAGCTTGACAGATATTATCTGTGAAGCCTATTAATTAACGACCATTTAGAAGATTGAACAGTGCCTCATATACTTTTTTTTTAAAGCAGTAGAAATCTCATGTCTTATTATTACTGTCAGCAAAACTAATTTGGTTAGGTGATTAAAATCAAGTTACTGAAAAATTATTCCCTTGTTTTTGTAGGTGTTCATAATGTGACTGCCCTGAGCAACCTAATAACTTGGCAGAAGGTGGATTATGACTTCAGCTACCACCAGATGGAATTCCCCTGCAATATTAATGTTTTTATTACTTCGGAGGGGAGATCACTCCTGCCGGTAATGAAGGGTCATTTTAAAATGAACGGAGGTTATATTGGAAAGATATCTATATTTTTGCTTTGTTTCTTGGTACTGCTTATTATTAATAAGTTAAACTTGTTTCAGAGTTGTGGCGACCGATTATTAATGAGGAAACTGATTATTTTGTTCTCTGGGATGAAAACTTTGTATCTGTAAAGAAAATCACAAGACAAGCAAAGAAAACGCTTGGCAGCAGAAAACTCCCACATGTAGGGAGAAAAAGTAGAAACTGTCTGTAAATTGCCTGATTAACATCCAGACCTTTGTTCTTGCTGCCTCTGTTCCATTGTTTTCTGCCAATCCTACGTGAGAAATATTTTAGAGTTCCTTTTAAAATGTTCCTAATCACCTGGTAATTATTTCTATGCTTTATGGTGAAATGCTCTGGTGAATCATCAGTGACTAATGAAGAGAGCTTTTACGTCTGAGTCGTTAATGATGAGAAGTATGCCCAGTTGTTGAAAAGGCATATAGTTGCTCTGTATAATGATGTTCACCCTTGATATAGGAGGAACTGCCTGGGAATGAGAATGAAATGGCCCAATGGTAAATTTCTGTGGGAAAGTGTGATTTGCTATATGTGGTTTCTAGAAATGCAGTTCAGTAAGAAATAGAGTACATGTTCCATGATTAAGGAAATATCTAAAGCATTTTAATTAGCTGCTTTTTAGAGATTCACTATCTTTTTATTGCTGAGATAGTTACAGTGCATAGATATTAATGTTAAAAAGTGACCTCCCCCAATAATGAATTGTATTTAATTCCCTTAGGGGCTGATAGAGATAATGCATCCCCCCTGAAATTCTAGGTTGATGTAGGAACTTGGAAGATAATGTGTACTGTTTCTCATTTTAGGCAGACTGCCAGATCCACTTACAGCCACAGCTAATTCCACCAAACATGGAGGAGTACATGAACAGCCTTCTCTCTGCGGTGCTGCCTTCTGTGCTGAATAAATTCCGCATTTATCTGACCCTTTTGAGGTTCCTGGATTATAGCATATCTGATGAAATAACCAAGGTGTGTTTGGGTTAAAACAAAGGATTTCCCTATGTTGAATTGGGATATTTAATCAATTTACATTTACGGTAATTACTGATAAGGTAATCTTGCTATTTGTTTTATGTGTCATACGTCTTTTTTGTTCCTCTGTTCCTCCATTATTGTCTTCTTTTGTTTGAAATAGATATTTCTAGTGTACAATTTTAATTTCCATGTCTTTTCTTTTATGACATATTTTTTTTCTTTAGTAGTTGCCCTGGGAGCTACATTAACATCTTAACTATGATAATCTGGGATTAATTTAGGATTATGCCAGTTTCATCACAGTAGTATGCAAAAGCTTTGCTCCTTTATACTTCCATTCCTTCTTCCGCTCCTTTGTGCCTTATTAGCATTCACATGACGTCTTTATACACTGATACGTCTGTCAACACATTTATAATTACTGCTTTATGCAGTTGTCTTTCTTTAAAGGCATTTATACTACCTTTTATATTTACCTGTGTAGTTACCTTTACCAGTGATCTTCACAGTGGATCCGAGTTACTTTCACTTTAGCCTGGAGAACTGTCTTTCGTATTTATCAGTATTTTTTATGGGGGAGCTCTGCTTGTGACACATTCTCAGTTTTTGCTTACCTGGGAATGTCTTACTTTCTCCTTAATTTTTGGAGACTAATTTTGCTGGGTGTAGAATTCTTGGTTCATAGGCTTGTTCTTTCAGCACTTTTAAGTCCTCCAACTTCTTCTGGATTTTCTGAGGAGAAGTCAGTTTCCAGTGAGGGTTCTTTGTTCACAATGAGTCATTTTTCTCTTGTCCTTTCAAGATTCTCTCTTTGGCTTTTGACAGTTTAGCTGTAATGTGTCTACATATGGATCTCTTTGAGTTTATCCTACTTGCAATTTATTGAGCTTCTTGGATGTGCAGATTAATGCACATTTGGGGGGAGTTTTCAAGACATTTGGTAAGTTTTTGACCATTATTTCTTTAAGTTTCTTTCTGCCCCTTTCTCCTCTGTGGCACTCCCATGTATGTATGTGGTACACTTGATGGTGTCACACAGGTCTTTGAGGCTCTGTTCAGTTTTCCTCATTCTTTTTGCTTTCTGTTCCACAGACCAGATAATTGTGGTCAGCCTATCTACAGATTTGCTGAATCTTTCTTCTGCCTTTCAAGTGAATTTTTAATTTAAGTTGTATTTTTCAACTTTAGAACTTCTGTTTGCTTTTTAAATAATTTCTGTTGCTTTACTGGTATTTTCTATTTGGTGAGACATCATTCTCATACTTAAAGTTCTTTATTCATCGTTTCCTTTAGTTCTTTGAATATATTTAAAATAGCTAATTTGAAGTCTTTGTGTAGTAATTCCAATATTTAAGTTTCTTCAAGGACTTCTTATTTTCCAATGAAGGGGGCTACACATTTCTTGTCTTTGTATTTCTCCTACTTTTTGTATTGAAAACCAGGTTTTTAATAGATGATTTATTTTTTTAGTCTAGTTATTTTATTTATCTTTGGCTGCGTTGGGTCTTTATTGCTGTGTGCAGGCTTTTCTCTAGTTGCTGCAAGTGGGGGCTACTCTTCGTTGTGGTGCATACGCTTCTCATTGGGTGGGTTCTCTTGTTGCAGAGCACGGGCTCTAGGAGCGCGGACTTCAGTAGTTGTGGCTCGCGGGCTCTAGAGCACAGGCTCAGTAGTTGTGGCGCACAGGCTTAGTTGCTCCGCGGCATGGGGGATCTTCCTGGACCAGGGCTCGAACCCGTGTTCCCTGCATTGGCAGGCGGATTCTTAACCACTGCGCCACCAGGGAAGCCCAAACCAGGTGTTGTAAATAATATAATTTGGCAACTCTGCTCTGGCAGATTGTGCCCCCTCCCTGCCTGCCCCCCCCAGGGTTTTGTTGTTGTTGCTCTTTGTTGTTTAGTGACTTTTCTGAACTGATTTTTAAAAGTCTGTATTCTTAGTTGTATGTGGGCACTGAAGTCTTGGCTCGGTTAGCTCAGTGGGCAGTGATTGGATAGAAATTTAATTTCCTTAGATGCCTGGAAGCAGTCTCCCAGTCTAAGCTAAGGGACTCTGTATCCATATTGGAGCAATCCTTTAACACTCAGCCATGCAGTTTACAGCTGCCCCCTAGCCTTTGCCTTCTGCTTGCACAGAGCCTCAAGGTTGTTCAGTGGTGAGAGCTTATGGCCTGTCTTCTCGCTCAGGCTCAGATCTTCTGAGCATGTGCCCAGCCCTGTGCATGCATGTGACCTTCTAAATTCCTG